CTTTATGAGTTCTCCATTCTTTTGGTAGATCATTGAGATTTGATTCTTGTTGAGGTGATTCTTCGTGTTGAACGGGTTGATCTTTGGAGGAATTTTCTTGAAGACCTTCTAGTATTTCACCATCATCATTATCACAAACAATATTATCCTCCTTGGAGGGGTTAGTTTCACCAAAAGAAACATGCATTGATTCTTTAATTGTAAAAGTTCTTTTGTTGTATATTCTATATGCTTTACTAGAAAGAGAGTAACAAAGAAAAATACCTTCATCGGATTTTTCATCAAACTTACCAAGGTTATCTTTGTCGTTGTTTAAGACAAAGCATTTGCATCCGAAGATGTGAAAGAAAGCAATGTTTGGTTTCTTCCCTTTGAAGAGTTCATATGGAGTTTTATTCAAGATAGGTCTAATGTTAACTCTATTGCTAACAAAACATGTCGTGCTCACCGCATCCGCCCAAAAGTATTTTGGAAGGTTTGAATCGCTAAGCATTGTTCTAGCAAGTTCCACAAGAGACCTATTCTTTCTTTCTACCATTCCATTTTATTGAGGAGTCCTTGGTTCCGAGAAGTTGTGAGATATTCCATGTTCTCCATAGAATTCTTCAAATAGAGCATTTTGAAATTCTCCACCATGGTCACTTCTTATGGAGACAATTGTTAGAGACTTCTCATTCTGAAATTTGTTTAGCATACTTCTTGAACGCCTTGAATGCATCACTTTTATGCACTAAAAAGAATGTCCAGGTATATCTAGAGAAATCGTCAACAATAACCAAAGCATATACATTACCTCCGAAACTCATTGTTCTTGATGGACCAAATAAGTCCATATGTAACAATTGTAGTGTCCTTGTAGTGGACACCACATTCTTAGATTTGAAAGTTGATTTAGTTTGTTTCCCCTTTTTACAAGCATCGCATAGTCTATCTTTGATGAAATTTCTCTTAGGCAATCCAATGACAAGATCATGCTTGATTAATTTATTCAAGTGTTCCATGTGAATATGAGAAATTCTTTTGTGCCACAGCCATGAATCATCGTTGTTCGCCATGAGACATTTAACCTTCAAAGATGGATCATCAAGGGAAATCATGAATATATTATTGATTCTTTTACCTTTAAGTATAACCTCATAAGTGACTTCGTCTTCTATCAAGCATTCATCCTTGGTGAACTTGATCTTGAAGCCTTTGTCACAAAGTTGGATAATACTAAGAAGATTGTGCTTTAGTCCTTCAACATAAAGAACATCTTTAATGGATGTGAAAGGTGGAGCACCAACTTTGCCTTTGCCTAGGATTATTCCCTTATTATTGTCTCCATAAGTGACAAAACCCTTGGCCTTTAGTACTAGATTTGAAAATTGGTTTATGTCTCCTGTCATATGCTTTGAACAACCACTATCAAGATACCAAAGATTGCATGTGGCCTTCAAGCATACCTGCAAAACAAATTAGGTTTTGTTAGGTACCCAAGTTGCTTTGGGTCCTTCATAATTAGTGCCTTTCTTTACCCACACATAATGCCCACTTGCCACACTAAAGTTTCTAACATGGCAAGCATTAGGTGTATGGCCTTTAATGCCATAATAAAAACAAGTAGGTTCAAAGTTACTTCTATATCTAGAAGTATAAGATTTCTTCTTAGGAAATATTTTCTTTTTAGGATAGTGACGAACTATTTTAGGTTTGCTCACTTTCTCTTTGGATGATTGATCACTAGCCTTAACAAAGATAGTTTTGTTAGAACTTGGTTTTGAAAACTTTGAATATCCAAGTCCATTTTTATCATTGAAGTATCTTTGTTGACTAAGAACACCTTCCAATCTAATTTGGCCTTTTTTATATCTTTCAATGACTCTTTTTAATTGGACAACTTGGAAAGAGAACGATTCAAAAAATTTTCATACAAAATTCTATTTTTGTTCATCACTTGTTTTTTGTTTTTCTTCTTTGAAATCTTTTTCCATAAAATCACATTTTTCTTCTAAGGATGAAATTTGTTTCTTTTGTGATGAAATAGTTTTATATAGAATTTTGCATTCATTCAATAGTTCATCTATAGCACCTTGTGCATCACTATCAAAAAGAGAAAATTCATTACTAACTTCATTGTCTTCATCATCGGAATGGTGTGAGGCCATCAATGCTAGATTTGCACTTTCATCACTATCGGAATCGGATGAGGAACTTAGTTCATTATCCTCCCATGCCACATAAGCCTTTTTGTTCTTGGATCCCTTATTGCTTTTTAAGCCACCTTTCTTGGAGAGTTTTGGACAATCCGGCTTGATATGACCTTGCTTACCACAATCATAACATGTGATTTCTTGTGTTGATGTGGAAGCTTCCTTTTTCTTAAATTGTCTCTTTCCTTTTGAGTGAGAAAAGGGTTTGTCATTTCTACCAAAGAACTTACCAAGCCTTTTAATAAGAAGCATGAAATTTTCATCTTCTTCCGGATTGTCTTCCTTTTCAACTTCCTTGGAATCTATCTTCAAAGCAATATTCTTGGATTTCTTCTCTTGATTTTCATGCTTTTCAAGTCTTTCGAGTTCTGTTTCATATTCTTGAAGTTTTCCAAACAATATTGCGGACGTCATGGATGAGAGACGTTTCTTTTCTGAAATTGTCGTTACCTTTGGTTTCCATTCCCTAGTTAAGGACCTAAGTACTTTTAGATTTAGTTCATCATTCGTCAAAGTCTTACCAAGAGCACTTAGATGATTTGTCAAATGCACAAATCTCTTTTGTAGGTCAAGGATGGTTTCTCCGGGCTGCATTCGAAATAATTCATATTCTTGACTCAGGGTATTTAGTCTTGATCTTTTAACTTCAAGAGTTCCTTCATGAGTTTGTACCAAGGTATCCCATATTTCTTTTGCTGTCTTGCATGCCGAGACACGGAAGAATTCATCCATGCTAAGTGCACCTTGAAGAAGGTTTATTACCTTTTTATCATAGAGAACTTTCTTCTTATCATCATCGTCCCATGCAGTTTTAGGCTTTGATGAGCCATCACCATTGATTACCGTTATAGGGATAAATGGACCATTCTCGACGACATCCCATACTTTTTCTCCTTGTGCTTCTAGATGTGCCTTCATGCAAATTTTCCAGAAGTCGAAATATTCACCACAAAATAAAGGAGGCTTGTTGTTACTACCACCATCTCTGAAAACGGGATTTTGATTTGCGGAAGCCATTTTGGATCTTTTAGGAACATATTACCTATCATTTGCTCTGATGCCAATTGTAAGTACGAAGTGCGCCTAAGAGGGGGGGGGGGGGGGGGGGGGGGTGAATTAGGTACTTTAAAAAATTCTGGTTTTAGTGATGATGGATCTTATTTTTCTGGTTAATGATGAGTTTAGGAAAACTTAAAAGTGCAGAAAAATAAAGAGACACAGACGATATATCCTGGTTCCCCTCATAGTCCGAGAGTACTTCAGTCCCCTTTCAACATGAAAGAGATTTCCTTATTGTGGCAAACTTAAACAAGAACTACCAAAAAGCCAAGAACAATCCTCTTTGACCAAGAACAATCCTCTTGGATTTTCACTATGTCAACTATGAGAACAATCCTCTTAAAGTGACTACACTTGTATCCAACAATCCTGGAAAGACAAGATTTTAGAAACACTTAAACTTATTTCCAACAATCCTGGAAAAATAAGTAAGTAACTATCAATATTTGAGTTTGAGTGAGTTGAGTAGTATTGATCCCTTAGAGTGATTTAACAATGAATGATCTTCTCTTCCAATAATATTATTGTACAATGACTTAAGATATAATTGCTCAAAGTTTTCTGTTTAACAATGTATGAAAATGTGCAGAAAACTTATGCATGAAAGTGAAGGAATGCTTGAGTTTGTATTTTGAAAATTCAGAAAATATTTATGGAAGAGGTGTTGAAAATGATTTTGAAAATGAATATTTATATGTTCATAACACCCTTTTGAAACATCATGAAGTTCTGAAAATGAATCATGAACAAATGTCAAGATTGAGTGAAAGGTTTCAATGAAAAGGTACTATGAACAGGCATGTGAAAAGCTGCTGTTTTTCAAAATCGTGCAGCATGCAATCGATTGTACCCTTTGTGTAAATCGATTGCACAAGGTTTCAACAGCTATATTTTCAAAAGTTTTAAGTGTGCAATCGATTGCACTAGCAATGTAAATCGATTGCATGTGAAGTTAGTAACAAAAAGTAAGTGAGTGCAATCGATTGCACAAGTAATGTAAATCGATTACACTGAGAAACAAAAGCAAACGTTTTGAAAATTTTAAGTATGCAATCGATGCAATGTAAATCGATTGCATAGAGAAACAAAAGCAAAAGATCTAAAAATTTGAAGCATGCAATCGATTGCACTAATATGCAGATCGATTGCACTCAAGTGAAAAATGAATTTTAACTTTGAAAAACTTGAGTAATGATTTTTAAACATTTCTTTTTCATCATTGAGCATCTATATCTTAAGATCAAAGTAAATAATATCATTATACCTTGAAAGTTGTTGAGAGCTTTGAACTGAAGATTTTGTCCTTAGATGCTTTGAGCTTGATCATAAATCTTTGCCTTCTTTGTTAATCATGGTTTGTCTTCATCAAAATAAAAAGCTCATTTGAGAAGCTTGATTTTACAAACAAGTCCTTAGGTTTAAGTTTGTATGAGGTTCATAGGTAAATACCCTCTTGAAGTTTAGTTCGTTCAACCTGTTTTAACAAAAATAACCGGGTTCTATGAAATCTCAATATCTCATAATTTTTTATATTATAATTAAGAATACCAAATTAATTATAAAACAAAAAATTTCTATAAATGTGTGAAAAAGAATGAGGAAGGGAGTTATATTTATATCGTCGAGTGCATACCCTAATGCTTTTTTATATTTAAACTGCAAAGAGTAACTGCTGCACTGAGCGTGCTCTTTCTCTTTTTAATCCCAACTATCACAATCTAGGGTTTTACAATTTCCCCAAAAACCCTAATGGCAGAAGAAACCGCCGCCATCGCCGTTGATACTGACAACACCGTCGCCGTCGCCGTCGCCGTTGATACTGACAACACCGCCGCCTTCGCCGTTGATACTGACAACACCGCCAACGTCGTCGCTGCCTCCGTCGACATGGAGGTTGAAAACCCTGCTGATTCCAAGGATAAACGACCAAGGGAAGAAGAGGAACCCAAAGAAGATGACACCGTTTCGAAGAAGGCTAAAGTGGATGAGGAAAAGTCTGTAGAGGAACAAAGGTTGGAGAAGTTAGAGAAAACCGAAGATGGGGAAGAAAAGGAAGCATCTGTAGCTGTGAAGTTGGGACCCAAGACCTTTGGTTCTTCCGTGGAAATGTTTCATTACTTCCACAAATTTCTCAATGTTTGGCCTCATAATCTCAATGTTAACAAGGTATTTCCTCAATTCTTTCTCTATTTTACAAATATCAAGCTTATATGATTCGATTGGATTGTAGTTTATTGAATTTGAGTTTTTGTACCGTACTTGATCTACCATGGCTGATAGCTTCTAGTACTGTATTTCAATCGATTTTTGGTTAATATTTTTTGAATATGAAAACTGAGTTTTTGTTAGAGTTTGACTAATATATGATTTTGAATGAAATATTGTTAAATTGGTTTGGTTAAAATTTATTCTGTAGAGAATTCATTCATGTTCAAATCGTTTTCCATTAAAACCATTTTGCAACGTTTGTGTTGCGGTTGCTTAAATGTTCACGTTGCGGTGTGTTGCTTAAAGGTTCGCCTGAAGGCTTGCGGTCGTCCCGGTCATCCCAGTTGGAATTAACCACAATTTGTTCTTTATCACAAAAATGATGAATAATGTTATTGCTATGCAATTTCCGATATTGACGTGGCCGTCTTCGCGCTAACAGACTGTTGTGAAACCTTGCTATATTGATATAAATTTAGTCTAATTGATATCAGATTTCAATCTAAAGTAAAAAAATGCTGCTTATAGCTCTTGTTCCCGAAGAGCTATCAAGAGCACTGGCATTTATAAATGCATGATCAGTCTTTACTGATGCAATCTTAACTGCTATCTTAATGTTTGATGGAATTTGAGAATTTTCAACTATAGGTCTAATTTACTGCAGAGAGAGATTAAAGCTTCTAATGTAGAGCTTCTGCTCTAAATTTATTGCTCTTGACTCTGTTTGCTCTACATGTAGATATTTTTTCAAATGCGGACCTTCAAAGTTTAATGCTCTACTCTAAATTCGCCCTCTTGACTTTGTTTGCTTCGTACTTTGAATTTTTCTAATGTAGAACTTCAAAGTTTAATGTTCAGCTTACATGTTCAATATGTGTTTTGCTTTCTTTTTGCAAGTAGAACATGTGCTATTTATCACTGTCTATGATGGAGGTTTCCTTGCAAAGATTTTCTTAACTGCATTAAAATCAGTTGTAATTGGATGGGTTTTGGAATATCTTGTAGGTGCTTCAAACATGTGGCATGGTATGATGACAATGATATTGATAACTCAATTTCACTGCTTGTTTTCACGTGTTGAAGTTTGGAAACTGTGAAAATGAAAACTTGTTGCCAACTGCTGAAAGATGTTTAATCTGCAATCTGTGTTTAAAATTACAATGTGTTTTGGTTATACCATGTTCATTGATCTTCTGGAAAATTACAGATAAAATGCTGATCTTGGAGTTTTAGCATAATTGTGCAAACCTCTTAAAACATAGATGTTGTGGCTCTAATAATCTGTAATTTAAAGCCTTGATTGGATATGAGATTTTTTATTTTACTGTTGTCCTTCTCTGCTCTCTGTGACTTATGATGACTTTTCAGTAGTTGCAACTCTAATTTTCTTACTGAATCCACATTGGCTTGTTTCTGTATTGTAGTATGAGCACACTATGCTGCTGGAATTGCTCAAGAATGGGCATGCAGAATCTGAAAAAAAGATTGGCTCAGGGGTTTGTGCTTTCCAAGTTCGCGAACACCCTCGCTACAATAGCAGGTGCTATTTCCTCATCAGGGAGGATGACACTGCTGATGATTTCAGCTTCCGGAAGTGCGTGGATCACATAAGTCCCTTGCCAGAAGGGATGCAATTGAAATCTGAGGGGAATAAGAGGTCTGGTGGTGGCGGAAATCATCATGGAGGAAATGGTGGCAGAGGAAGGGGTGGAAGAGGAGGTGGTCGTGGTGGTCGTGGTAGAGGAGGAAGGGGGAGATATTGATTGCGATAGTTACCGGTGGTCAGTATTTTATTGAGATCTAAAATATGTTCTGTACACTTGGCTGGTGTATTTCTTATTTTCTGCTAATTACATGATAATTATGATTTTGGCATTATGGTTATTTATAATTTGAGGAAATTTTGATCTTATATCATGACTCTGATTTTGAATAGCGTTGGTATACGAACAAACTAACACGGTCTAGCTTGTGTTTTTAAGCACACGGTGTCCTTGAATCTACAAATAGTAGCTTCATTAAAGTTTCGGAAAACTCTCATTGGGACGTTAGAATTATTTGCAGGCTGCTAGACTAGATATGAATATGATTTGGCTCATGGCTGAGTTTGAAATGAACTACTGTTTCTTGCCAATTGTTCCTTTCAACATGCTAGTTAATAGTTTCAGTCTCCTGTTTCTGGCTGAATTTTGATATGAACGACTATTTCTCGCCATTTGTTATATTAAACATGCTTGTTAATAGTTTCCGTAACCCTGTTTCTGGATATGGTTAATATTGCGAGTTCATGAAACGAATGCGTTGAGCAGTGATTGGATTCCGTTTGCTTCGTATTTAACTAATTGATTTAGTTAGTTAACGGGTGGAGTATCGAATGTTATGCCCCACTATGTCAAACCATCCTTGACCTTAGGGGTACACATGGATTGGATAAACCCAATAAATAAAGTAAAATTCGATCCAAAAAAATGAGTTGGATTTAAAATAACTGGGTCATGGATAAATCCATACCCGACAATGTATTTTATTTTGTAAGCAATGTTTTTAACTTATTTAACATGCGTCACTTTAATTATACTCGTTAATTTAATATATTTTTGGTTATTGTAAATATGTATTATGAATCTTATTGTTCATTTATGCATTTGATATTTAAAAAAATAGTAGTAATAAGGTAAACTATTTATTATTAATAAAAAAAATATAACACATAATTTTATAATTATATAAGGGAAAAAAAAGGAAATTTTATCCAACTCACAATTTAGTGGTTTTATCTAGACTGATCTAAAAAATTTTAGCCTGTATCTTTACAGTTATTTCCCTAACTCTATAATTTTGAAAATATTCTAAGTTTATCCTTTTCTATTTTCATTTATGTTTTATTTTTTACTATTTTTTACTATTCATCTTAGTCATTTGAAATTGATAAGTGGGTACCTATTCATGCAAACTGGATAACGAGCAATGCAGAATTCTGGTGTATTCATTTTCTAAACTGAAACTCTTTGATATATAAAATTTGGTTCATATTTTTTTCTAACTGGATTACTTGATTAGATGAAATCCGATTTGCATTATTAGTAATTGGATAATCAATGTAATACGATTATGATTTTTGTACCAATCAGATTTCTTTTGCATTAGTATCTTGGTGCGTTTTTTCTTCATTTTTTTAAAATTTTTTTATATTATGTTTAACAGGTTTGGATATTCCTCTGATGATATGTGATAAAAATTAAACATACGTAGATACTACAGAAATATTTTCATCAACACATCGATTTGGTACAAGAGAAGAGATGATAAAATGGATTAGGAAAGTTGAAATCAGGTGTCAATGCATCTAACACAAGCCTAAACTCATCATCCTTCTGTGTTCCTTACCTGTAACACCATTTCATCGTCCTTGGAAATGGACTAGCTACACAACAAATCCCAGACACATCTCTCTTCCCAATAGTGGAAAAATACTCGTGAATCCAACACTGTTAGACACCATGAATATTATCAATTAAAATAATTACAAATAAATAGATAAATCAAATTAAAATTAAAATAAAACATTTCGTACTTGTAGAAGAGAGGCATATCCGTCAAACTACTTGCATGTATAGTAGGAAGCATCACCCAAATATTGATAAAGTGTGGCAAGTGCCACTGCTCTCTAGCAATATCTAACACATCCTTCCAAGTTCTTAAAAAGTGATAAATACTTTGCCTTTACAAGAGTAAAATTCTTGTTGGCAAGAATGATACAACCTAACAACACCATCATATAGGCTTTAGCAGCACAGTCAAATCTACTAGTAACTCGATGATGCATAAATATCGTCTTTAACCAATCTAATCTATAATAAGGACCTCTACAAAAACGGATCTCCTCAACTACCTCATCCAATGGAACACCCGTCAGATCAATAGCTAGTCTAATAACATCATTATCACTTCTTAAGGGTTAATCAACTCACCCCTAGTTGGTAGTGAAGAAGACAAGAAACATCGTCAGAAGTAATGGTCATCTCACCAAATGGCATATTAAATGACGATGTTTCTGGATGCCATCTCTCTACAGAGGCCGATATTAGATTTTGGTTTATCCTCGACAAACTGATTCTATAGAGAGAGGATAAATCATAGTCAGTCAACCAAGTTTGTATCACAGGTGGGAGCATGTGCACAATCCATCCTATCAATTTGCTGCCATGTGCTGCTTCTTTAACTCTTTCTTTAGTTATCTCTCCTGAAAACAGTTTATAGTATAAATGTTATAAAATATATAAGTACTTACAAATAAAAATCATTTAAGATAACATTATAGAGATTAATTTACCTCGTCGAACCATAAATGGCGAGTAACGTGACCCTGATACTTCATCATAAGAGACATATCGATCAGTCCTCCAAAGAACGATGGATGTTGTGGACCCGCCTCAGGCTGCTGATGTCTCTCTCCATCGTCCACCTCCCGTCGACGTTGTCGTCTTTCAATGCTTTGTTGCATATCGTTGTCGCTCGAGTCTCTCTTCTGCGAACCACTAAAAATAAAAATAAATTAAAAAAACAGAATCGGATAACGCATTAACGTGTTATCCAAAATAAGGAAGCAAGAACTGGATAACAGGCTAAACGTTATCTAGTTGGTAAATATGAAAATCGGAGAACCCATGCACGTGTTATCCGATTTGTCAAATTTTTTCGTGTAAATCGGAGTACTTACTGATGGATTATTTAGAGTGTAACAATGTAAACCAGATTTGAGATACTCGCGTCCTCCGCTTTATGTTTTCAGGGTGTTTTGGAAAGGGCGTTGTTGTGTTCTCCGGATGTTACTCTCTCAGTCTTTTAAAGTGAAATGAGAAAAAAGTGAAATTTTTTGAATGTGTAATTATTTATACAGTATTTTCGTCCTGAAGTCTTATTTGTAGGGGTAGAATGATAATTGTAGGGGTACTAGATAAAGTTTTCACCATTTCAATAAAATTGCGGGTGGTTATTTTATCTCACTCAAACTAATATAATCTATGAATTAGATAATGATTTTAGTTAAATTCAACTCAAACCGATCCATGTACACCTTTACTTGACCTATTTGTATTTGCTCGTTGTAGGTTATAGAATAGATGGGTTACTTGGATTACCAATAACTGTGGCTCTATTAGATTGCTATTAATTTTTTTTTAATGTCTAAATATCTAAAATATTTGAAAACATATAGTAAATGTTTTCTAAATTTTCCTATTAAATAAAACAACTATAAATCTAAATGGCTTGTGATAGGAAAACAATAAAAATTAACAACTAAATACAATGATATTTATGAAAAAAAATTGTTTGGATTTTCCTGCCTAGATGTCTGTCGTAAAAAATTATATTTAATTTATATGTATTTGTTTCAGATGTATTTAAATCATCTTTTAACATAATTATGCGGTCTGATTTAATTTGCCGTATATATTTTATGAACTAAATTAAATCAAATTGCATTATGTTACAAAATCTTACATACTATTATATACATATTTTTAATTCTTTAAAGAAATCAATAAGTACTATACATATGTTTTATTTTTTATTGTATTCTTTGTATCATATTTATTTTAACTTAGATATCAATAAAATATTATTTATTTATAAATATTATTATTTTTATTTGAAATGAAATTGTTATATATATATATTTGATATATTTTATTTTAATTATTCATCTAGTTGGATACTTGTCAAGAATGCAATTTCATGTATATTGTTCTTTAGATCTAAGATAATCAACCAACTCAAATTGCATCGATTTTGTTTTGTTCACTTCAGTTTTACTTTTAAAAGTCAATCGAACCAAATTGAAATATACTTTTTTTTTCTTACCGTTCAAATAACTTTTAACGTCAAAACCATTCAAATCTCACTGCAAACACACACACACACACACACTTTCTATATCAATATTTACAAAAAAATATTATTTTTTTTTCTAGTGAAATTTATTTAAAATAAGAAATACTATTTTATTTTTTACTAAATGTTTTTTCCATCTCATCCTCCTCTATTAATATTTACAATACAAGAATATTTTTTATCTTGAATAAGTCATTTAAACTACGAAAAATACCTTCTTAATATATATATATATATATATATATATATATATATATATATATATATATAATATATATATATATATATATATATATATATATATATATATATATATATATATATATATATATATATATATATATATATATATATATATATATATATATATATATATATATATATATATATATATATATATATATATATATATATATATATATATATATATATATATATATATATATATATATATATATATATATATATATATATATATATATATATATATATATATATATATATATATATATATATATATATATATATATATATTATTTTATTTTATTTCATTTAATATAATCGTTTGATCAATTCTTTTATCGGTTGAGATTTGGTATCAAATTAAACTTTGACATTTTGGTGTCATTTGATCTTATCCCATATATATATATATATATATATATATATATATATATATATATATATATATATATATATATATATATATATATATATATATATATATATATATATATATATATATATATATATATATATATATATATATATATATATTGTTGTGATAATGACAAGGTTCAATTTCAAAAACACTTTGATATGTGAGGCAAAAAACAATAGTAATCAAAATAAATGACCTTCAACAATA